TCTTTTTCATATTCAATTACTAAATAGCCTAGCTTTTTATCAATAATTCCTTTTTTGGGAAATTTATTGAATTCAATTTTGTCTTCAATTGCAATATCATAAAATTCCTGATGTCTTAAATTGAAATAAGTAAGACATTTACGTGATTTAAAGGATAAGATATAGCGTTTTTTGTTAAAATAATCATCTATAATACAAAATTAACCTTCAGCTGCCTAATCAATTGTTTTTATATTTTTTTTATTCATAAAATCTTTAAAATTAACTTTACGATTTTAATTAAGATATATAAATTATTTATCTGTTTTTATCAGTAAATCTTTTTTATTTATATCATTCCTCTTATATCTTACTAATTTATAATTAATAAAATGAAACAAGTTGTTCTTACAGTTCTCTTCGTTGCTACTCCATTTGTGCAAGCTGCCTGGAACCCAGCACTTTCTCCTAACGTTTAAGCATGGAACCCCGCTCTCTCTCCAAACGTGGAGGCCTGGAACCCTGCTCTATCACCAAACGTTCAACAAGGGTACTACAATTATTACTACCCTGCATATTACCCAGATGTTCAAGCTTGGAACCCAGCTTTGTCTCCAAATGTTTAAGCATGGAATCCAGCTCTATCTCCTAATGTACAAGCTTGGAATCCAGCTCTTTCACCGAATGTTGAAACCTGGAACCCAGCACTCTCTCCAAATACAGTTCAATCTTAACTTAGATAAATCAAAAAGAAAACTCTATAACAATCTAGAGAGGATGATGATGAAGAAAATGTCTTCCCAATGGTCCAATAACATATTGGAGACTAGACATCAATGAAGGTATTTGATGCTCTAAACAACAAAAGAAACAAGAACATTGAATGGACAAATGATCTTACTGATCCTTACTATAGAAGAATCTTGAAGACCATGACTGATGACATCTATAGACAATTCAACAGACACGATTCTACCTCAGAATTTGAGTTTGGATTCATCGTTGATGTGTCAGGCAAGAAATTCAAAGACTACCCTCAAGCAATCATGGACAGATTCAAATAAATCTTCGATGATAAGAAAGATATGATTGCAAGAGGCGACCTCGCCTATGGAGCTTTAACAACATACCAAAACGAGAAGGGTAAGTTGAGAGTATATGCTATCTTCAAGGACAAGAGCAGCAAATACAACTTCCAGTACTGAGGATGGTTGATTGAGCTAGCTTAACGAGGGTGAATGATGGTGTCTGTCTGCATAATCAAATTCTTCAATTCATTCACTATAACTCTAATAATCTTTTAATTGTATTTTCTAAATTAATAGGATTCACTTCACTTAAAGTCAATCATACTTTATCTTTTGGGGTTTTGGGGTTTTGGGGTTTTGGGG